ATTGCTTTACTTGTATAAATATGATACAATATAAAAAAAATTGAAATATGCACTGTAATGTGCTGCAAGGATTTCACTTCAATGAAAAGCTAATGGGTTAACATTGATGATCATTATAGTACACAGTACATATACAGTACCGTACCATCATTAAAAATACTGAAGAAAATTGTGTTCAACATCAGCGCAACACTGCAACTCAACACGCACACTGAGGCATTAAAGATTATAGATTTACAAGCATCGGCAAGTAACAATGTTTTCTCCTTGGCTGTAGTGAGCTTACATAAGCGCAGGAAGGTGGTTTTGGGGAGCCCCTTGAAGCTCATCACCATGCAAATACCACATATGGCCTTGCTCAGTTCATCTTAGCATTACATGTGAAATCTCTATGTAAACACTGGTAAATACCTCCCCCCTTTAGTTCAAAGAAATTAGTAAGTACGGTACTGTATTTTGATGGTGTTAATGGATGAATGTTGGTTATGGCCCACAATATCAAGACTTGATAGTATGTGGTGAGGTCTGGCTTTGGGTACTTGAGAATTGTTGCATACCTGTTGAAACTATGAAATTAAGATTAATTTCCACAGTATTCTCTTATCCACTCTGTAAACAAAAGTTTATAGCTTTCTCTGGAATATATAGAATTGTTTTAGAAATTCATCCAACCCCCTTTATAACATCAATATTTGCTACACCACTATTTACATATTCATATACTGTACATTCTTGCATACATATATGAATATACAGTACTTAATGTACCAGGCCTTAATGGAGGAATGCATCCAGTTATATTCTATTTTAATTACCAGAAAAGTTCACATGTTATGTCCCAGCAAGTGAAGTGTAAGTGAAGAAAACATATCATGATGTCAGGATGTGTGTCAAATGCATTCTACATGTTAAAGTTGCATTTAACAGTTTCTCTTTTAGCATGATTTAAAAACCCAGCTTTGGATACAATTAAATGCCTTTTTCCTGGAGGATCCCTTGGTGGCTTCCTGAGCTAGCGTGGAGGCTCTCCCAGATAACGCACTTAACACACTAACGTACATTATGGCAAGATACTTTTGCGCACCAATACACATTCAGCAATTCAATCATATCCATACCAACCTATTTTATTATTAATAACTTGCATATAACTATTGCTGATGTATTTGTCAATTTTGGATGTGGATGCATGCATCAATTTCCTTTTACAATACAGTATTTCAGAGAGTGAGTTATGCCTTCACTATTATAATACAAATTGAGATTTTTTTCTCAACTATTCCTCATTTATACCATATTTTTATTTAAAATAGTCTGCATAAAGTTTTTATTTTACACCAAATTAAACTATAGAACATATTACACACAAATTTAAGAAGATATATGGTAATGATTTTGCATTCTTCAACCCTCAGTAAGCAATGAAATTCAGAGATTACAAAACTCAAACTAGAATAGTCTGCAGAACACACAATAGCAATACAGCTATAATTAAAATTTTCTTAAAGTCCTGATTATTGAACGTCACAAGTTTTTATTCTGATCAGACACACATGTCGAGTTACTGAATTAAAACATTACATAAAAATGACCACACAGGAGGAATTTAAAATAATAATACAATCTGTATGTTAAAATTCAAACATTAATATGGCAGTTATGCAATGTGTGCCAAGCTGATGGCTACTACAAATTCTTTAACAAATGTTTAAGCTCATTCTTTGCACAATTTACAAATAAAATGCGTGGAAGTTGAGAGGGAAAACTAAGGGACTTTCTGCCTATAATCACTACATTATAAATCCCAGCGGAATTATAGTACAGTAAAGTAATTTCCAGCATACAGAATGCACCTATTTTACCAAAATATTTTGAGAGAAAATTTTTTTTGGTGAATTTTGTCATACGTACATTGAAAGTGATCTTTAAGTAAACTTTACAAGGGAACATGAGATTTTGTGCATGTAAGTACAGTAGAGTACAATATATATATATTCAGTTTGTGGCAGACAAAAAACAGAAGTCCTGTCAACTGGCAATTATGGTAATCTATGTTAGATACACATCCTGCAAAGTATTACACATAAACATTCTGAAAGTATCACACACAATTTTTTTGTTTTTGTTTGCAGGGATATTCCTGCGCGGGCCCTAAGCCTCTGGTTGGCCCACTAAGTGTTGCTTGTTTCTGTTTTACTTGGGCAGAGCATGAGCATTTATGACTCGTACGGTCGCTTCAGTAAGATTTTGTCCCATGTGTTTAACAATTTCTTCTGTTCTGTTGAATCTAAGTTGAAATCCAAATGGATTTGTAACTCTGCACTGTGTTAGATAATGTTCCAGTGGTCTGATGTGGCTGTAACTGTGCAGTGTTAGATAATGTTCCAATGGTCTGTCGGGGATTTCTCCACAGTGCTGACATTTCCTCTCATCTTCCAGAACCTGTAAGCCCATGCACATGGGTATCCAAGCCTGATGCTATGTAAGTGTACTTCTGTTGTTCTACTGCTCCCTTTCATCAAAATACGTGGTTCATAGTTGGTTGAATTCTTGTACTTCTTGAATTCTTGTTGAATTCTTGGAAATGCATGCTGCATTTCCACCACATACTGTAATTTTGCATATACTGTACTGTACTGTACTGTACTGTATATATTTTACATGTGTTCTGTTGAATGCATAGAAGTGTGTTTCATTGTATGCATATATGATATACAGAGGAATATTATGGTATATATAAAATCATTACATGCAGTCAACTCTCGATTATACAGGGGGAAGGGTTGCATACCTGGACCTCTTCAATAGGACTGAACCACATAGGCTTTAAAGAACCTCATGAGGTACTGTAAATAGGATACATTCCAAGATGAATTTGTTTTAATATTACATAAGCAAATTTAGTACTATACTATGCAGTATATATTATCAAATAAGAAGTGTTATTAGAAATAACAGTGTAAAACATTCATAAGCATTACCCATTTTTTCAGATGTCATGGAGCAGAGAAGCATCAACCCGGAGAAAAAACTAAATTATATATTAAAAGGTTTTATACATTACAAAATAAAACTAACAATATCACTCATCTATACATTATAATCACAATAAAATATACAGAGGGTTCCCACTTTACAAACATTCATCCATATGAACATTTTCCCAGGTCCCCATGTACCCCCTTCACGCATAAAATCATTGTATTAACTCGCTGGAGCGTCCCTTTGAATTTTGCGACAGCACGAACGTCCGTGTGGCAGCCATGGAGTACAGTATTATATGGGTAGGTTGGGGGGGGGGGGGGGGGGGGGTAGGGTTTTGCGTGTATCTTTAATAGCCTGGGAACACATCTCCTACTTATAGCAGTGCGCCTGTGGAAAATCTCGATCTTCACTCCGAACAAATGTCTTACAAACACAGTCTCGGAATGTGACTCGTTTGTAACTGGGAACTGCCTGTATAGCATCAGGTACACAGCACTAGCACACACCAGCAGTCATCCTGAGAAGCATCCACTGCTGCAGACCACGTGTAGTGTTTCTCACGAATTGTTATATATATCGTATGCAAATAATATTTACCATCTTTTTCCTTTAAACTGGCCAAAACTCACTTGGAATCTCCTGAATTTTTTTAATATATTGACTTTTGCATTCCACTTATCTCTTGACATTTTTTTACTTTATTTGTGAATTAGGTATCAAATATATCCTAACCCTCTAAATTGCATATTTAGAGGTCTTTAGTTTAAATAATTCTGATTTGTCAAGTACAGCTGTCTGTCTTAATGCTAACAGCAATTTTGCAACACCTCTCTCCAGGAGATTGTTCCATTTACCAACTCCTGATAGAGATAAAATAATAGTAATAAATATTACTATTACAGTACTTCAGTAATATATTTTGATAGTCTTTCAACATCAGTGTTTCTTGATCTTGAACGTACGTCCTCTCATTCTCTTTGGAGAGGAACATAGTAAGAAGTATACTATCAACTCTTTCCAACCATATTATTTTATGTAGCAAGCTTTTGGAAATTGAATCTTTTCATAAATCAACTGTCAGAGTTATGCTGCACATTTGTATAATAACAGTTTTTGTTATTATATATAGAGGCTCACTAGCATTGCACACATAGCCATTTAATATTTACACCATGTGACATTGCTCGTAACAATCACTACACGGTCCCTTCAATATCGACTATTAAAAACCAGTTGCAGAGGTTGCTTTACACCCGATGCCTCTGTCACCTAGCAGTAAATAGGTAATGGGAGTTAAGAGACTTATTCTAACGTACAAAGTAGTAATTTTTTTTTCAAGGCAAGAAATATTTAATCTACACGTCCAGCAATCGTGTAACAAGTCAGTTATTATGTAATGGAAACTTAGCAACTCTCCAGATGGTTTATCCATGCAGGCCTGATAGTCTTTTCCAGTCTCACCACATAATTACAAATTCTCATCTATTATTTAGATGAGCCCTCCCAATCTCCATCCTATTATGTATTTACATACTTACATCAATACATACACACACCCATCTCAAATGTTTCCATGTTTTGGCCTCCACCACCACATTACCTAACTTGTTCCAACCGTTTACCACTCTGTTTGCGAAAGTGAATTTTCTTATGATTCTTCGGCAGCTTTGTTTAGTTAGTTTAAATCTGTCATCATCTTGTTCTGGAAGTTCCAGGTCTCAGAAATTCTTCCCTATCAATTTTATCAATTTTTTTTTTTTCCTATCTTCTAGTTTTAGCATATTTAATGCCCTAACCTCTCCTTGTAGCTCTTGTCCTTCAGTTCTGGGAGCCATTTAGTTGCATGTCTTTGCACCTTTTCCAGTTTGTTGATGTGCTTCTTAGGATATGGGCACAATACAACTGCTGCATATTCCAGCTTTGGTCTAACAAAAGTCATGAACAATTTCTTTAGTGCGTGTGTGCATGTATTTACGTATATTTATATATTTTATACTGTATATATATATATGATATTACTACAGTATATCGAGTTGTGCATGAGTGCATGTAACTCAATACTATGACATAATTACAGTACCTGTATTCCTATTTTGCATAATGCACAATGCATAAGTGCACTTGCCAAGAAATTTTATGTATACTGTATTTCAGTTGTAATACTGTATACAGAAGATTTAATTTCTGTTCATTATCAATCTCCATTTTCTCATCGATTATTATATAGTATACATAATTAGAAAATATGATGTTTTCTTATGTACCAACGCAAGTATGTATCATAATTGCACTCGTCTAATGAAAATGAAATATGTTGATCATCTAGTGCAATGAAATGTGTTGATCATCTAGTGCAATGTGTTGATCATCTAGTGCAATGAAATGTGTTGATCATCTAGTGCAAGAAAATAATCATGTAACTATTTACATTTAGTGTCAATGTTTGAACACCAATGTTACCCATATGGTTCCAACTTCTCAATGACCTTTCCTGGCAGTCATAAGAGGCCACAAGGTAATTTAGAGGCAGACCAAATGTATCAAAGTTCACCACTTCTAAAATAAAAACTAGCCATGTGATCTTTTTCAAACTAGGCCCCATCAACGTTTTCCCACGCCAAACTTCTATTTTTATGATCAAGTTCACATATGAAGTACAGTATATCTTGGTAACCTGTTTCAATATATAATTAAGAAGATACAATCCCCAAACACTTTCAAAATAACATTTCTGGCAATTTCATCAACCAAAACTGACTCCCGTACACAATAAAAATACACAATACAAAAATTGGGAAAATATGATTGGCCTTTTCTAATACTTTACAGTTCAATTTTAAATCTACAAATACAATTTTGGATCGATTGTATCAACTTAAGGAATTTAGGACCTAATAAGAATTGGTTAAGTGTTCTCAAAAATCCCCCCAAAAAATTTTGTCAATATGAAAAAGTTATTTCATGAATGTCACTTGTAATTTAAGCTTGTTTTATTTAAAATATTTTATTTAAAGAAACTGAACTTACAGCATTCAGGTTTAATATACAGTAATGTAAATAAAAAAATAGATATTTAAATGTTTTGGCAATAATTAAGATGGACCAGGATTAAATTCCTCAATAGGACTTTAAGGGCAATGTTGTGACGAGAAAGCGAGAGCGCGCCAGCAAGCAAGGTGATTGTTGTGTGCTTGTTTGTCTATCATTCAATACTTTAGATAACTGAATTCCATATTTTAAGAAAAAGAAACAGACCATGAATTGGTAGCACTGAACTACAGAATATACCCCAAAAATGTATTATATTAATGAACAAAGCATATTATAAGTATTTTAAAGTCTACAAATTGTATATGCAACTGGTCATTTTTTGCATCTTACATTTATATTAGATTTACTAATAATAAAGAAAAGAATTTATCAGGTGCTAAGCTAGAATGATTACACAGCACCTGAAAGGGAAATCATAACAACAAACTGGGACACGAGAAAGGAGTAAAGGAATGGTGCTCAACCACTTGGAGCATCGGGGATTGAGCATCGCCCCAGCATAAAGTGAGGGCGTCCCTCTACCAACCAAAAGGAACTTTAGAAGTGATCATTTCGCCTTTATCACTGCATAACAGCCAATATTTTATTGATTAACCATCCATAATGGCACAGTTAAGAGTAAGGCTATACAGATAATAAGTGCCACAATAACGGGGCTGAGACAAACAATACACAACCCACACTTATGAAATGAGTCACGATGTTTAGGTCAGTCCTGGGCCCCTTAGGTCCAGGGTGGACTGAAACTTCCTCACTTTCATGTGAGTTCAATTATTAGTGAAACTATATTAATCAGCATAGCTTATATTTTTCCAACCATGGGAGTTTATCACATGAAGAGGAATGATAAAATTAATGGTGGGCAAAGCTCATCTCAAAATTAAGTTTCAAATAACTAGGAGTTTTGATTTAATAATAACACAACAGTATAATATTTAACAAATTAACATTGCTTACAAATGCAAAAATCATTACCAAACAAGGTGCAAGATAGTTCTATCTTATGCACCATGCCACAAGCATACTATACAAAACACACACACACACACACCTGTTTTTGAAGATGCCAGAGACAAAGATTCACTGATGTTATGACGATGCCATCCAAACCCCCTACAGTATCTATGAACATTGGGTCACACACATTTAGAAAAGTATAAGAAAATTATGGTTTGCCTTTTAGTTATTAAAAATATAAAGGCAAATGTTTATGATCTATACATATAAATTTGCTTCACTACCCCTATAACTATAGACAGGATGAAATTCTTGCTAGTAGATTAATCGCTATCTTCAGAAACTGATGACAACTCAAGGTCGTCAATTAAGTCATTCGTTCCATTTGCTGTGGCACCTGGAAACAAAGAAATCTTTTAGACACACATACTGTACAATACATGAAGAAATATTTACATAAAGACAGCCCATCTGGGTTAGTAGCCTACAATACAGGTACCTCATTTTCTGGAATGAATACACAGTATTCTCTTCCTGAAAAATCTAATCTTAACAAATTTATGCTACATATATACAGTATTTATATACTTTTTGTAAAACACTTCCTAACCTACCACTTCTGTCAGTATCACCTACTGACTAAACATTCGACAACTTCAGACTCGGGTGATTTAAACTAGAACACCAATGATGATAGTAAAACATATATACAGTAACACACACTGCTAATGTTATTCAATCCGGAATGAGTAATAATTATTAATAAAAGAAGGCTCAAATTCAAAAAGACAATGTAGCTAATCCTGAACAAATGCTTTAAGACTTAGAAGACCCTGAATTGCCGAAAAGTACTTCCAAGCACGATGACAGCACTTACCGTGTCCATTTGTCTTTTTAGCCATTGTATCTTGTTCTGGTTCAGAATCAGAATCTGAATCACTACAGGAAGAGGAACTGCTATTGCTGTCTGAATCACTTGAAGACTCGCTCATTTCCTGTCAATTAAAATATTTAAAAATAAACTGTTGTGTGCAAATAAATAACTTACAATTTATATTACAGGAGAAACAGTATTTCAAGGTCCTTAAAGCACAGTGGTCTATGTCCTTGGCTCACAACTGAAGGGCCCGGGTTCAATTCCCGGGCAGGACAGAAATAGTCGGGCACATTTCCTTTCACAATATACTTCTGCTCAGCTGGCTGTTAAACCTGGGTGTTAACACCCAGCCTGCCTGGGTGTTAGACAACTGTTGTGGGTTGCATCCTAGGGAGGGTCAGTAGTTGGCCTAGGGATATGACAATGAAAAACAAAGGCTATCCAAGTGATACAAATGCACCAACCACATCATTATGATAGTGATATGGATGCTACATTATCCAAGCAATGTGGATGCTCCATCCATAATATTGCCTATATTTACATCTCTGTTATGTTTGTTTTTTTATGTACAGTATCACTGCTTCATAAGGGTCCAGGATGAACCAAAACTTGCAGTTGCACACCTTGTACTTACCTAATTGTACTTTCCTTATTGTGCTTGCGGGGGTTGAGCTCTGGCCCTTTGGCCCTGCGTCTCAACTGTCAATCTATCTGTGTATGGAGTCAGCCTCCACCATATCACTTCCTAATGCATTCCATTTGTCTACTACTCTGACACTGAAAAAATTCTTTCTAACGTCTTTATGGCTCATTTAGGCACTCAATTTCCACCTGTGTCCCCTAGTGCATGTGCCCCTTGTGTTAAAAAGTGTCTTTATCTACCCTCTGTCAATGCCTACATTTTGTCAGACTTCCTCAACCTATTGTGGCCAAAATATGTCACCTACTATTTTTTTCCCCCGTGCTCAGGAAACAAATGAACATTTTTAAAAGACAATTTTTTTTTTTTTTTTTTTTTTTTGCACACAGGGGTGTAAAAGTCCTCAGGACCCCTTAGCAGCTTAAGGGTTAGGAAAAGTTATATATATCCCAATAATTTTTTAATGCATTATTCAACAAGAATGAAAGCCCTGTCACTGTTGGATATATATATTGTAGATATTTTCTCAGGTCAGTGAAGTGGCTGTGAAATTAAATAACAAAATGGAATGATTCGCCATCGTGGACAGTAATATGGCAAAATATACGATGCTGTCCTATCTACCAAGCTGTTTTAGCACCAGCCAAAGATACTAAACACTAGAGAAGTGCTTTAGGATGGTGTCAGGTACATCCTTACTTTGAATCACAGCAAGTATGCATTGTTCGTTTTTAGCTAACCTGTCATCCAAAAATGTTAGTACTGTACTTGTAATATCTATGGGGCAAACATACAAAAATGAACCATTACACAAAAAAAAATTGTGTTAATTTTGTAGGCAAAAGGAAGAAGGCAACAACTATACCTTAACTCTCCTAGACCTACTATAGTAAATATGTAATAAATTAGGCTTACGATGGCATATATTAGACCTAAAATTGCTTATTTAAGACTAGGACAGGTTGGGTTAGGTTTGAATAGTTATTGTTCCAGTTTTTGGTGTGCCTTTGGGGGGGGGGGGGGGGGGGGGCCAACAATACAAAAAAATGTAAAAATACAAGTACATTTTTGTACATTCCACCAAGAGTTGTGATAAGTACTATTATTTTTGGAGGATGGATTGTTTTTGCCAAACATGACTCCTATTTACTCTTCCCATGAAATACCCGAAAAGCATTTGTCACACTATATTACACATATGAAAAGTGCAATTGTTAACCTTTCTATAGTCATAAGAGACTTGAAAATCAAAACCTATGTTACTGCAAATGAATTTAGTCATCTGCACGTTTGGCCTTAAATTAAGTACAGGTACACTTACAAAAATATGTTAATAAACCATATGTAATACAGTATACAACCTGTAAAAGTAACCTATTTAACCATTACACTGAAAGACCAAGTCGGAAAAATTTACCAAAATCAAACACCACTAAAATTCACTAATTTACAAAATAACCTGTAACCATTTGGGCTACAAAGAAGTACTTATGCACTAGATGATAATTAAAATACCTGAAATGCCGTGCATATTAGTGGCTTTAGGCATAGTATATACTGCACTTGCTCTATTGAGAAATCAAACATTTCACTTGTAACTCATTTTGTATGTACTGCAACCACTCGATTATCCGGGATTTGAATATCCGGAAAACGCCCTTATGTGGCCAAAATCGTGACCGGATAAAGTTCTCAACATCCGGCCAAAATGTCCATAGGAGCCGGAAAATCAGGTGTGTACATATGTACTTTTTCCTAAATAAACATTATCATTATCAAAATATTTACAGAATATTGGCTCTAGCAAAACCTTCTTTATGTTTGAAACTTATGTTGATGTCTACCAGGCAGCTATATAACCAACTTTTAATAGAACCTTTCAACTTAAATTATGAAAATATATGAAAAAACTTACCGAGATATGGCACAGAAACTGGAAACAAAACATTAAGACTCCATAAATATCCCCCTAGATATATGTACTGCACGTTAAAATCACAAGTATGTGATGTAACCGAGAAAATATTGCCTGGGGAGTCCAGGGATGTGGGGTTCAATCCCTTCATACAGCCTCAATATTATCTCAAACCTATTTTAATTATAGTAATTGGCAAGAGTCTTACCTTGACAGGATCAGATTCCTCAAGCCCCAACATTGGCATTGATCCTGGAGCTGTGCAGTGATTATTGTTGGGACTTTTGTTTGGAAGAGGAGATCTGGCATGCGGAGATGCAAGATGGGAAGGAGAAGGTCTCGAGAGTGTGTTGGTCGAGCCACGTGAAACGGGATGGGAAGGAGAAGACTTCTGCGGAGGAGAATTTCTACGTGAAGATGATTCTAATGGAGTTGTGGGCCGCTGCGTAGGAATTCGACTGCTGCCATCAGGTCTAGAGGAGAAAAAATGTATGAAAAAAATATACAAAATATTTTTATCAGAACAAATTCAGAATAATTTATTACAAATATTTTCTTCAGTACTGTATCAATCAATAAAACCTATACACACACACACACACTAATGGATAGTAAAATTAGAACATTTAACTAAGAACACATCACCTCGTGGTCTTAACACTAATAGTTTGTGATATACGTTCTAGCACAATCTCTCCAGTGACGTGGTCAATGATGAGGATGCACTCTTTGGCAACAGGCTTATGGTTTCCCTTAAATACAGTTTGGGACGTGCCAGAACCCTCAACATGGGGGACAGTGACCGACACCTGATGATTCCCTTCCACCTCCACTGTTCCCATTTTTTGCTTATCGACACTCGCTGGTTTAAAGTCATCTGAAAATGAGAAATTTAATAGTTGTATAGTTTCTATATATCTATAGTTATATAAATAAATTTATATTAATATAGGACATTAGGCCACACTTAAATCTGAAAGCAAAATAAAAACATTTTTAATAAAGCAGCACAATGCTGTTATCACTGAAGAAGTGAGAAATGGCACTAATCAGTGTTAATTCTCTGCTGCAAGTTGTTTATTTGCTTCCATTTAGACTATGCTTATAAACACCAAGGATACAGAAACTTGGCCCCATCACAATATGCAGTCACACACCAAAGCAAATGGGAGGGTTGAAGGTCCACCCTCCCATTTTCTAGAATTTAAAATTTAACAGAAGTTTTGGAATTTACGGCTTAGGCAGGCAGGCGGTTCCATGGGTCTGGTAGGTTAGCTATGGTTAGCTATGTGCCAACCCTGTGGGTGAAAAAGCATCTACTGTTCTCAGTCCTACATTGTGGCTTGTTGAGCTTGACACTGTTGTTCCTTGTTTGTGTTACATTTGACCTTTTGAAGAAATTGTCCAGATCAACATCCTCCAAATTGTTCAGTATTTTAAACATTTCAGTAAGATCCGCCCTGTTATGCTTAGTTTGCAGCGTTGTTAGCCATGTGGTCCCCTCAACCGTTCCTGATACTTAGTTCACTTAGCTCTGGAATAATTTTTGTTGCATGGTGTTGAACTTTCTCCAGAGCAGCTATGTCCTCCTTAAGATGAAGTCTCCATGCTTGGATACAGTAATCCAAATGGGGCACACCAGAGATTTACACACTTGAATCACTATCGTCTTTTCCTTAAAATCAAAGGTACACTTGATTATTCAAAGTGTTTGGTTAGCTTTTATGACTGCTGCTCCTGCCTGCTGTTTAACGTTCATCGAGTATTGGATTTGGACTCCCAGGTCCTTTTCTTCATCAACCTGCTGTACTGTAATGTTATTAATTTGGTAGTCGTGGCGTGGACCGTTATGCCCCACATGAAGGGTCTAGCATTTGTCGATATTAAAACGCATTTGCCAGTCTTCGAACCATTTGTGGCATTCATGTAGATCTCTCTGCAAGGCTTCAATATCATTATCATTTCCCACTTGACCATACATCATGGTGTAACACTATGTGATGGACTGTATCCACACCAAATTGCTGGCACTCCAGTGACAATGTACTGGAGTAGCACTGTATAAACACCATATAAAACATGCAAGTAGACCTGTGAAAATAATGAATTACTTAGAGAAGAGAGAGAGAGATAGAGTACACTTACACCGTATGGTATGATAGGCACCATCCTTATAGTTCTTGTTGAACGTCTCTCCCAGCTTCAGGTCCTTCTCTTGACCATCCAACCCCAGCTTATCCGCCATAATGGTCAAGCACACTACCACAGGGGGTAAACCAAGGCAAAACCGAAGGAGAAACCCACTATATCTATGGCGAGACTGGTGGTGGAGGTGCCCCGGGTCGCAGGAGACGAGGGGAGGAGGAGGAAGCAGATGTTGGCCGAGTACTGCCCCTTATGTACGCCACACCCCATGGGGACCCTCCTCACATAGACCACACTCACACACCGGTCCCGCTTCTAACCCATGGGGGAACCTGGTGTATCAATGGTGACCCGGTCAACTCTTACACTTTCACACACATACACACATGTACACACATACACACACACGGCCAGTCACAGGCCTCCCCCCCCCCTCTCTCACTATATTTACATCCTAATATTCCTCTCAAACTTCTATAACAACCCTCAGGTTTAACACTGCATGTCCTCATTTTACTATTTACTCAATCTCTTCTCAATTTGATATATTTTGTGATATAATTATAAAAATTAGTTGTGAACGCGATAGTAAACTGGCGGGGAAATTAAAATATGTAAAAGTTTTCCTTAATTAATTTGAATTAACTCTGTCTATAAAATAATTCATTATATTCTTTATAATAATCATATAATACAGATCAAAATGAAACCCATAACATATATTGAATTGAATTGATAATATATTATGACTGAGGACTCAATAAAGTATGAAATTATTAAATATGTTATTATATATTATAAAATATTTAATATATATATTCTAAAATATGTAATATACTAAGATTAACATCAAGTTGGTCAATAATCAATATTGATTGAAACTAGCAAGATATAGGTTGACATTTAGGGGAGTAAGGTAGGTTACATGGAGTTTTTCTCTTAAACTGGTTGAGAGAGGTACAGTCTTTAACATGATTGGGAAGGTCATTCCACATTCTGGGTCCATTAATTACCAGAGCATTTCTAGTTTGGATAAGTCGCACTCTTGAAATATCAAATAGAAATTTGTTTCTAGTTTGGTGCCCATGGGTTCTGTTACAACAAAACATAATAATAAATAAATTCATAAACTTTATTCATAAAGTACTCAGTAAAGCAGATTTGAGTGCTTCTTCAAGGAAAAATAACCATAGTTTGGACTACCCTATAGCTGTATATCCTATATAGTTAGGTTTATATAACTATAGCAATAGGCTATGCAATAACACCCACCCCCAATACCTCAACCCCACAACTAGGAAATGTATATGTTTATTTCTCAGAACGTTCGGCAATATGTTTATTGTTTGTGATGTGTGTCAATATATGTATGAACACGTTGTACTGAACGGGGTGAGAATAGCTTGAGCTACCTCATCCCTTTGTGTGTATTTTACCTCAATAAACTTATTTCAATTTCAATTTCAAACCCCACAATTTGGTTTCTCCGTGTTTGTTCCTGTATGGTTGGTGTTATGGTGCTCCACAACTGGTCCTGTATGGCCTCCCAGCTGACCAGTATACACAAACTTTTCCCGGGAGAACTTGCTATTACTCTAGTATGTAACCCTTTTTTTATTTAGTTTTTCTGCTTAGTTCATTTATTATATATATCCCGTTGTTGGTAAAACAATGGTATCATAATGAGCACAAAGATTGTAATTCAAGAAAGCTTGTATCTGGACTGTTGGCAGGTTAACTGTAGTTTTGGACAAAATTACAAGCAGGCATTAGAGGTTAGATTCCCAAACTTGTCGACTAAGATTAATAATAATAGTGTTTATTCAGGTAAAAGTACATACATACAAATTGAGTTACAAACAGAATGTTGTAACTGTAGGTAGTAACTTAAGTGATTGTAACCTATCCACCGCTGCCCACTGGATAGGTTACAATCACTTAGTTACTACCCACAGTTAGCAAACTGGGGATATTTAGCTAACACCAGAAGAAGACATGATCGATCATACTAGATACAGCTAGTACAGTATACTATGCCCAAAGCCACTAATACGCACAGTGTTTCGGGCAGGAAGAAAGATTAAGATATCTTTCTCTACAAATGCATAGAGTATGAGGAAACTTGAGTGAAATATACAGTGGATGAAAGGATATAACAAGAGGGGATATTTACAGGGTTCTAAGTATATCAATACAAAATAAAACATAAAATAATGGATACAGATTTAATAAAGTTGGAATCAGAACATGATTCCAACCCATGTCCAAAGTTGGACATGGGTAAAGGCTTGTTTGGAATTAGAGTTTTAGATTTGTGGAATAAATTGCTGGGTAACTTAATCAAGGAGAGATTTTTGGATTATTTCAACTGTAGGTTTGATGTTCTGCACATATGAGTTTTTGGGTACAAATAAGAGTTGCCTGTTATTAGCAAATTCTACAGCTTCCTCTATCTCTTCTTAGCTCACACAGTTTCTTGGACCTACAGCTCTGTATCCTGTCACATAATTTCACACATGAATACAGCATCATAATGTGAGGGTTTTTAATTTCAGAAATGACATCATCTGCCTTAAAGATTCAAACCCTGAGAAGTCTTATCCGAGAGCTGCGTAGGTCTCTTCCAGAACATGAGACGTTGAAACACTCCCCAGCCTTTTCCTATATAATTGACCAGTATCGTCGTAATGCTCTCACTGATCAGCAGTACTGCCGTGAGCAGGAAGAGATGGCCCATCTTGCACAGACTTATGCTACATACTTGGAATCCAGCAGAAAGTAAGTACAGTATTGTAATTACTTTGTATAATATGTAGAATTTGATATGTTTATAATGTAGAGACGTACCAAAAGGAGTAAAGGCTATATAGTATTTGTAGATGATGTTTTGTCTGTAGGGCTTTATCAAACGTATCCGACACACAAAACTAGAGCTTATAAGGGATAAAAATGATTTAGGTGCTAGAAAATGAAATTTGAGAGACATAAGTGATTGTTAAAAATTCATATTTATAAACTTATAATTTAGCAAGAGGAGTAGCAATGTTTAGTTTACCTTGATTCTATTCAATGATGATAGCTTTTTATGACTGCAGAACTCTGTACAGTGTCTCTTGAGGATCCAAAAGTGGTAAGTGGTGTGACAGACCTGAAACACCAGCCAGTACCTGAACCAGGAATGGATAGAACATGCCAGTAGGCATCATGGAGGTCCAGAAATATGAGCCAAGAGTGATTTGAAAACCACCTGATGAACAATAGCTGTGGTGGTCATCCTATAGCGTGCCCACTTGAAAATGTATTCAGAATCTTATAAACCTTGAGACATCATCTGAATCCAACTATATTTCATTTTTCTGATGAGCCCTACACACACGTAACCGACATTCTTCATAAAAACGTTTCCATTTACTGTACAGTATTTAACAACATATTCCCAACTCTTTACATGCTCAACTATCGCCTCTTTTTCATCCCTTCTTTGTCCACAGTCTTCTGTACCTCTTCCATCCACTGGGATTGATTGGTACTGCAACAGTTTTTATTTTTGCAGGTCAGTTCCTGATGGTCCAAATAGTTGGGCATCATTATTTTACTTTGTCCTCATATTCCATCTCTTTAACCTCACATACCTTCCAAATGCTGTATAGCACACCAACTTTCTCCTGATAATCACCTAATAATTTTTGCCTGATGCAGAGGTCAGTGCTGTTTTTAACAGCTAAGAAGTTGTGGGTTTGATTCCCACAGTTGGACAGATTTTGGGCACATTTCATGTTCACCTAGCAGATAAGAAGTACAGTACCTAGTACTGTAGCTAGACAACTGTTATGGGGAATTGCATCCTGGGAGAGATCAATACAATAGTTGGCCTAGTTGGGGGGGCCTATCTACCTGGGGGGGGCTTCAATAAACCTAACAGGCTTCCTGTCCCCAAAAATGGGAAATGATATACCATAGTTTATGTCTGCAATAATGGAAAATATCTTCCTTACAGATATATGGAACTGTACAGTGAATATTACAGTCATGGTGAAAAAACAGTGAAGGAAACTGCTGATATGGTTGGCTTTAAACTTCCCAATGACCCATATAAAGACGTATGAATTATGTGGCATTATTTCAAAATAGAACAAGAATTTTATGCATGTAAATATATGCAAGTTGTTACAGAAACTGTTTATGAATTTTGCTAAATTAAATTGCACATTATGTGGATTTCACAGTAAATATATTACAGTAACAAGATGATAGCCACAAAAATTCTCATTTGTAATTTATACAATATAGATATAAAATTGATTTGCAATGACATTCATTAAAACAAAAAATACTGTTTATAAAAACCATTTGCTTAAATATTTTTATTTCAATACTGTTCTACTCGATGGCGCATATAATGTTTAAAACTAAGTGGAGTGAAAATCAGTACTGTATTAATTATACAATACAGTAATGTATTTTATGCCTATAATATATAAATACTGTTTAGATATCCCCAAATCTCATTACCTGCAATGGTTACGTAAGTACTGTACTGTATTTTTGCAATTTAATAGTGTGTAACCAAGATGCATTCATCAGTACTTTACTGTACTGTACTGTAAATTATTTGTATATATTAATGAGATTTGGTGATGGGTTGCATCCATATTTTATATTATGGATTACAATTTAATCCACCATTAAAAATTTGTCTCAATGAAGACCTAAATCATGATTATGACAAGTCATCCTTTTATGTAATTAATTCAGAAGGAGCAGTTTCTTGATATAAATAAATGTTAAGAATTTAGTTGTACTGTAATAAAATTGCAGTACAGTAATTCATTTGTGTATTTGCTACTCCTATTTCATATTCTGATGATCATCATAATACTTTTTATGTGATTTATTTATTTGGGGGAGTTCAATGTGCAATGAATGTATTATGTATCGGTACAGAGAGAAAACCGTTTATGATACTGAAATTGAAGAATCCTCCTCCCCCCTCCCTCCCCCACCCGCAAATCTTCATAAGTGATGTTGATGTAATAATAATTCAATGTTTAAAATGTTGATATAATGTACAACAAACATTACTCGAACATGCTTTGCCCACCGGGATTTCACTTACTATTCTCATATTTGTTTCTAACACTTGCCCTAGTATTTAAAACTTATTAATCCAATAACTCTTCACCATTTTTATCTTACATTTCAAATCACTCTTACAACTCAGTAAGTCTCTACAAACTGCAAAACCTCATTTTCTTATCTCAAATACCATCTTAATTTTTCTTACATTAATCTCCAACTTTCTACTATTGCATACACTCTAATTTTTATTCACAATTGCCCACAGCACTGAGCAGTGCTGTGGGCACCTTGTTTTGAGGCCTTCAGCGTGTCTCGCCGCTTAGCACACATGGTGGGTGCCATAAGGTATAACACAATGGTTCTGATGGGGTTTTTAACCCTGACTCGTCTAACCTGAGAATTTCCGCAGGTTTCATCAATCGAAAACATCTGGAAGATCGACAGCAAGAACCTCATGCTACCAATTATAAATGACCTAATTGCTGCACAGAGTAAAGGGTTTTGAATCTCCTTTGTATGGATACCATCACACATAAATATAACCCCATCATAATGAGACAGACATTGCAGCCAAATTAGTGTGTAACAAAGATGAAGTTGAATTAGATCTAGGTATCCCATCTCTACTGTCAAAACTATATTATTCCTAATATTCAGGTCTGATATGAAAGAAATTACTGACTCTCAACGACCTGAAATCACTAGTATAAGAAGCTATCATTTGTTCAGATCTGAAACCTATATCTATGGGCAGCACAAAACGTGGACCAGACTGTGCGATACAGTGGTTGCCAGGATCAGGTTGGGTTACCGTTACCTGTGGCAGGTGGCTACAGGTGACGGATCTCCCAATCCTGAGCACTCCAGGTGCAAACTCTGTGAGCAGGAACTGCGGCATGATCTCCCACACTACATCACTGAATGCCCAGTTATTAGACCTTTCAGACCCGTTGGCATGAGGTACCTGGAGCTTTGCAATTACTTTATTCACTCTTGTGTTCTTGAAGATATTCTCATATTACACCCAAAATTTGCCAGTGCAGGCTACTGAGCATATGGCCCTGTATGACTAATCATCCTGCGAGATGGGGACTTTTAGTACCACTGCTACCTTATTCACTCTTGTGCTGATGATATACCTTACCTTGAGGTTACCTTGAGGGGATTTAGGGGCTCAGCGACCCCGCGGCCAGAGACCTCCTCGTTGCTGGCCTGGTCAACCAGGCTGTTGGACGCGGCTGCTCGCAGCCTGACATATGAGTCACAGCCTGGTTGATCACGTATCCTTTGGAGGTGTTTGTCAAGTTCTCTCTTGAACACTGTGAGGGGTCGGCCAGTTATGCCCCTTATGTGCAGTGAAAGCGTGTTGAAAGTCTCGGGCCTCTGATGTTGATAGTGTTCTCTCTCAGAGTACCTGTTGCACCTCTGCTCTTCAACGGGGGTATTCTGCACATCCTGCCATGCCTTATGGTCTCATGTGCTGTTATCCTCATAAGTATCCTCATAAGTATCCTCATAATACTCCCAGAGTCTGTCAGTATAGACTACTTATCACGTGCCTCTGTATGACTAACCATCCTGTGTGATGGGGATTTTTTAGCATCACGTAGTTAGCATTGTGACACACTGTACTCCCCTTCATATAGTCTCGAGCAGCTGCACAAATGCTCATCTACCTAAATGGGTTAATACTAAAACAAAATCGTAAAGTTTAGAGGAAGTTTTCTGAAAAAAACAAGAGTTTATTGGTATAAGAGACAAGATGGAGGATGTTGGAAGAGGGTTGTTTGTTGTTTAAGATTTGCTACTTGGAACAAAAAGTTCTAAGTAGCACGGGCTATGGTGATCCCGTGGAAGAGGGGAAGAAGATGATAGGGTGGGAGAAATGGGAGATGAGAGAAATGAGAGGAAAGAGGAGATATTGTGGGGGAGAGGTGAAGATAAGGAAGAGACAGGAGAGAGAGGGGGAGATTGGAAGAGAGAGTGCGGGAAGGGGGGGGGGAGAGAGAGAGACCCGGGTATAGCCGGGTACCCCATCTATTATAGAATATGAATACAAAGTCTCTCAGATGTTACAGAAAAGTAACTAAAACGTTGTGCATATTGTAGTGGCTATGAGTTATATCCTGTACCTACACATACATACTCCAGTATATCATTCCAATTGTATTTCTTATATAAATAAAATTCACCATTCTCTTTGCCGTGAGACGCTTAGAACGACCTCAACGACCCGTTAGGTCCCAGGTACAAGGGTAAGTGTTCAAGGGTAGAAGGGTAAGTGAGCCAAGGGTACTTTACATCAGCACGCCATATTACACTTAAGTGTTTCAAGGTTTGTTTCAAAAGCTCCTGACTGATATTCCATATATAACTTGGTCAGTATTGCCCGTGTCACAAGCCAGCGTGGGTTGGTACGCCTGCGGACTTTTTTAGTTTACTGCGTCATCACGTGAGTACATAGTTTACCGCGTCACCTAAGTAGAGCGTCCCCAACGTCTCAAGAACCTGTGGTACGAAAGTGTCCTAACCTAACCAACCAGAGGACCCATGAACAGAAAACGGGGACATTATGTCAACTTTGCGAGTCGCTGCCATTTTCTTGTACATCAGTTTTGCGCCTTAGGTAAAGAATACGTCATAATACGGCGTGCTATTAGGAGAACAGGTGCTATAAAGAGAACAGAGAACAGCTATAACACTCCCACCGCTCCTGTGCCAGGTAAGTTACGGGCTCACCATAGCCCGTGCTACTTAGAACTTGTTCTGAGTAACTGGATCTATAACAACAACAACAACAGCTATAACATCCTGGATTATGACACACGATGGCTACCCACATCCGGAAAGTCTTTGAACAAGTCTTTATTTTATTGTGACACTCATTTGGTCATCTGGTTACTTCAAAAATACAATCCCCTTCAGTGTACAGGACCAAGATGCCTGTTGTTGAAGTCTTGAAGGTTTATCGTTTCCTAACGTCCTGGGGACAGGAAGCCTGCTGGGCTTATCTCGGTCGTGCCCCGGGCCCCAACTGATGACCTTTCTGACGCTGTATCCCGGATACCTATTTACGTCTAGAAGGATAGGTGACATTGTTTATGTAATAATCTTTGTTGAGATCTGATAAAGACCTTTTGTGCCCTCTGTAATGCTTTTTGCGCTACCGCTCACAGGATGAGTATGGGGTGCACAATAAAGTAGCCGCGTCCGGCGGCAACAATCAATCAATCTAGATGGAACAGAGGCATTGGAATCGTGGCCAAGTGTGTCCCGCTCGGAGATATAACCTGGGATGCTGGTTAAGAGTGGAAGACTACTGCGCTAGCGAGAGTCATCAATGTGGGGGGAGCGGTAAGCTGTTGTTGATGTTTTAAATTTAGCTACTGTGACGGAAATGTCCATGTAGCACCGGCTACAGTGAGCCCGTAATGTATGTTAAGCGTAGCGGCGTGGTTATTGAGCAGTGGGAGGCACAGCCACCAGCCCTAGCTAGTGTCTTGCCCTGCTCCTCCTGGCGGGAGCGATTGATTGATTGATTGATGAAGATTAAACCACACACAAAAGGTGGCACGGGCATGAATAGCCCGTAACTGGCGAGAGGAGCTAATTCTAGGTCCAGAAAGATGTGTCCCCAACACGTTGGCTAGGACTCTCGTGGTCTCTCACAGGTAAAGATTAATATGTGTAGAAGGAAGGTGCTTAAATATGAGCTCTTGTGCTCTTGCTTAAATATGAGGTCCTGTAGCACAGTGGTCTACGTCCTCAGCTCTCACCCGAGGAACCCCGAGTTCAATTCTCAGGCAGGACAGAAACGCTTCGGCATGTTTCCTTTCACCTGATGTCTCTATTCACTTGTCAGTAAAATAGGTCCCCGGAAATTAGGCAGCTGTTGTGGGTTGCATCCTGGGGGGAAAATCAGTAGTTGGCCTAGGCCTATGTGGGGGGGGGGGGTGACCTCGATAAGCCTAAGTACCACCTGCTTGTCCACGACAACAGGAAATGTCAGAGTTTGTAGCAGATATAATGTTTATCTGAAGTTGTATACAAAGTGTCTAAGGAAGGCAGAGTGTACGCTGGAAGAACCCTCCGTACAGTTGGGAGATGACAGCCCTGGAAACACAAACCGAAACTATCTCTATTTTCCGCTTGTTACAACTTGTAATAAAGTTGTTACATCTTGGCTTAACGTGTTTATGACGTATTAGAACGTTGTTACAACTTGCTATATTGGTTGTTATAACTGGTTAGGAAGCGTTAAAACTTGTTGGAACGTTGCACCAACGTCGTAGTTTCGGTGTGTGTTTGGCGGGCTAGACTTTGGCAGACGAGGAGTCACAATAACGTGGCTGAAGTATGAGTGGGATAGAGCGGTTATAGATAGGAGCTGCCACGTATGGGCCAATAGGCCTTCTGCAGTTACCTTTGTTCTTATGTTCTTAAGTATGTTGACCAATCCACACACTAGAAAATGAAGGGACGACGACATTTCGGTCCGTCCTGGACCATTCTCAAGTCGATTGTCTGATAATCAATCGACTTGAGAATGGTCCAGGACGAACCGAAACGTCGTCGTCCCTTCATTTTCTAGTGTGTGGTCTGGTCAACATGACAGACTTTTGATTTTAATATTTTAACAATGATGCCTTGTATAGTAATATGTTAACAATGATGCCTTGTATAGTAATATGTTAACAATGATGTCTTGTATAGTAATATGTTAACAATGATGCCTTGTATAGTAATATTTTAACAATGATGCCTTGTATAGTAATATTTTAACAATGATGCCTTGTATAGTAATATGTTAACAATGATGCCTTGTATAGTAATATGTTAACAATGATGTCTTGTCCCAATGATGTCCCCAACCACCTGGACTGGTCGGTGCTTCTTGCTAGGTGGCGGGGTACACCTTCCATCCCTGCTGGTGTAAGTGGTTGGGCTGTCTTGGGCACTCTCCTTTCACTTCCTCTTCATATGCCAGCTCCTTGTTCACTTATCCTTTCCAAGTGGTGAGTAGTCTTACCCGGGACACTTAAGGCTAACTGAATAATCTATGATTTGATCTATTTGATCAGTTTGAGTTTAATTTGATGCAAGTTGAATCACAAAGACGCAATGTACCTATGAAAAAGTAGCGAGGCTATACAATGGGATCGAACCCTCTTCCCTGGAACCCCTCCAAGTGGTGCGTGTGTCTTGCTATTCCAGGAATGAGGGTTCCATCGCATTATACGACTTAGGTGGGAGGGGGGGGGGGCGGATTCCAGCCACTTTATCAATCATGTTTCCCTCTGTCTCACCGTTTCTTCCGATTTAAAGTGAGTCTCAAAGTCCTTCAAGCACTATAAACACCAAAAAAAGGGAAAACATTTTGGGGCAATACAATGGGATCGAAGCCACGTCTGTGGCGTTGCCTGACACCCGCACGACAGACACACCCATAACCTGCAGCTACAAATATCATAACCGGTCCTACTCTCTTGCTCTAAAATATTTTTATAGATGCATCAGGCAAGTGAGATTTCGGGTTGCACCAAGCGAGAATATTATCCAGATTGTGTGAGGTTTATATATGGTATTTTCTTAGTGTGAGAATCATCACACATCACGACTCAACCCAAACTCTGGCCAAGGAATAAGAAGTCAAGCTCTTATATAATTTATTTAAATTCTTGTAAAACTACAAATTATAAGTTAGATTCACCAAGGGTGTTTAAAATTAAAAACGTTTTCATTTAATTATAAATATTTGCCGTGTGGGAATAGACATTTGTATCGGCATCTCTGAGAACCTTGTCATGGAGCTGTGAATGTGGTTACCAGTTCCTGGGGAACAGGAATGAACATAGAGGAACATAACAGGAACGTGTCGACGCTTCGGTTCGTCATGGACGGCCCCTTAGCACGTCGTGAGAGTGAGTGAGTGAGTGAGTGAGTTGGGATGCTGTCTGTATGTAAACAGATCAGTCATCTTCTGATTCAGTTCGAGGAGTGGTGTTGACTGGCTGTGTAGCTAGTTTGTTGGAACAGTGATTGTGTTTGAACGGATGCCGTGGGTAAGGAGTGTGCCGGAAGTGATTGTTGATACACTGACCGTGTGTACACAGATTGTTGCGGGAGTGACTGTGGTTGAACAGATTGTTGAAATGCAGACTGTGTGTGTATAGGCTGGTGTGGTAGTTGCTGCTGCAGCTGCTGCTGCTGCTCTGCTGTCAGTTGCTGCTGCTGCTCTGCTGCCAGATGCTGCTGCTGCCCTGCTGCCAGATGCTGCATGTAATTATAATTCTGGTTAAGCTGCTGAAGTTGCAATGAAAGCTGCAACAGTTGGGTTTGCATTATTTGCACACTTTGGTCAAGCCGCTCTTTGACTATTTTCTCAGTGGCAGCGCTGTCTGGCAGCTGCCCTAGTCGACGGTTCATGGCACGAAGGTCGTGGGTGTATTTGACCTTAAATGATCTGAACTGTGCCAACAAGTTATCCTCTTCCAAATTTGCAATGTTCTCGTTTGAGTCATCGAAGTTGCCAAGAAGGATGGCTTCCTGGAGCGTCTCAGAGGGTACGTAGAGCTCGACGTTCTTGTGGGAGGATTTGCGATGTTTGTTGGGCAACACATGGACTACCTGAGGAATCCGGCAACGGCTGCTCATGAAGACTCGTAGCTGACGGGGGAAGCAGCGCAGAACACGAGCGATCAACATGAGCTTCTCATACGACACCAAGTAGGAGGCTTGCTTCGACAACCGCTTGATCTTGCCCTGGCGTTGAAGATCCGGGATGTCATTCACAGCCAAACCAATTAGGAGGTTGGCCATTAAGACGCACACCAGGAAGAGGAACAAGACTAAGAAGAGGCAGCTCATGAGCGGCATCTCGATATCGTCCAGCAAGGCACTGTACTCGATCTCGCCGATCATCATCGTAAGAGTCTTCACTAGGCTGAGCGGGAAACTTCTAAATGCCTCTTTATTATGGAACAAGACCATGAAGCTGATGGAAAAGCCGATAATGAGGCTGAAAAAGGCCGCAATGAACTTGATGATGGACTTTGCGACGCGAGAGAACATGAGGACATAGGTACCAAGGGATGGGAAGCGGCCCAGCAGCATCATGAACTCCACCCAGCAGAAGAAGGCAGAGATGGCAGCCGCGCGACGCAAGAGCGGCACCTCCACCTGGGAATGGCTGTCATGTTCAGATGATGTACTTAATGTCCCATTTTGTATGAAATTGCCAGTTGTGTTTAACTCTTCCGCGGTGTCATTCTCCATAATGTTCGCTTGGAGATCTTCTAGCACTTCTCCCTCGCTGTAGAAAGGAATGATGTGAGAAAACATAACAACAGCAGAGCTCCCAAGGGCTATGATCTTGGTCAGTGTCTCCCACTGTCGTATGTATTTCTTAAAGTTGGCGAACATGATAATCATATCTGGGATGAGAATGAGTAAGAACATTGTGACGTGCAGGACGAAGAAGATAGCGAGGCTGTCTGCGTTATCTCGCCACCTCAGAGAGTTGCCGCCATACGTTATGATAATGAAAGTGGTATGCATCATGAGAAACATAAAATATATTAAGACACTGCAGTAAAAGAAAGGTTTGATCTTGCGCCACTTGATGAAGAGAAAACTCTCTAGAAGTGGGTGCTTGAGGAGTGCTTCAAGGCGCGAGTTCGAGAGGTCGGATATGAGGGAACCCTGTTCACCCTCCTCCTCCAAGGACAATACTGAGTAGTCGAAGGTAACTCTGAAGTCTACCTCGTGTTGTGGGTTATTGGAGAGGCGGATATGGGCGTCAAACAGGCGCCTGAGGAGCTGAGTGGCCGAAGGAAGATGTTCCAGGATGAGGGAACATCTTGAGGTTCCATCTCTATCTACTCGCGTCAAGTGGTCGCCATGATTGAGCAACAACTCGCAACAGTCGATGGATCCACTATGTACAGCATAATGGAAAGGTTCGCGACCCTCCTTGTCTGCTGCCGTGACCAGCTCATTGACGAGGTTGGTGGCCAGAAGGCGCGCGAGGCAAGCCGCGCAGCCCCGGCGGCAGACAGCGTGCAGCACAGACTGCCCGCGGTGGGTCAGCAGTGTAGGGTCTGCTCCCAGGGACAGTAATAGTGCCACTAGTTTTGGCAGTCGATGACGAGCGGCCAAAAAGAGTGGAGATTCCTTCCATTTGTTAGTTGCGTTAACATTGGCTCCGGCCTTGACGAGTTCCTCTACGATCTCATGGACTGTGGACTCTTCGGCTGTGTCACAGTCCATCAGGAGAGCCTTGTGTAGCGCGGTGTTGCCATCATTGTCGCTCACAGTCACCAGTCTGTGATTCAACTTCTCCTGCAGCAGCTGGCGGGTCACCTCATGACTACGGGACATTGCAGCCAAGTGAAGAACGGAACAATTATCACCGTCTCTCAGGGTGAGATCCGCCTGGTGCTGCAGCATCAGCACAACAGAGGCCAGGTCCCCGCGCCTCACCGCGCAGTGTAGCGGCGTCTCCACACGCACTCCCTTGACAGTAAGTGGCGGGTTGCTGACGGTGTTGGGAGAGGCACCATGCTGCAGCAGGAGGGCGACGCCCTGGTGCCAACCCTCGCAGACGGCCAGGTGCAGCGCTGTGTACCCCAGGCCGTTCACCGCTCCTACCTGAAGGTCACACAACGTTACTTACAAAATACACGATGAAATTACAAGAATATGATGCAATGAATATGAATATTGAGGCCGTACAATGGTATCGAACTCGCGTTTCTGGACACCACAGATATACGCACTACGGACATGGTATTACATATACCCCGGGGAGTCCAGGGATGTGGGTTCTCTCCTGTGTACAGCGTTAGTAATTTGTCATGTACAGAATAGTATCCTCTTATCTAACACAAATCAAGACACAGTTAAGCTGTCAACAAAATCAATCTTACCTTGGCGTCATAGTTGAGCAGCTCCGTCAAGATGTGGAGGCGTTGGAGGCTGCAGGCGGCGTGCAGGGGCGAGCACCCGCCGTACCTGGCACCGCTGGCCGCCTCGGGGTCCTCCTTCAGCAGCTCCTGCACCTTCTGTATATCACCCGTCTTGATGGCCTGTCGAGGAAGTGTAAGTCCAGCGTGTACCGATTGTGTATCCACTAGAAATACAGCCTGCATACATATGTATATAATACGCACACTCACTACAGGGTCCAAATAGCCTAAGCTTCTCTATTCTTTTGAAATGTATCTCAATAAACCTGAACACACTGGCTCACCACAAAGATGAGAGGCATGCAGTCGTGGAGGTCAGACTCCTCGACGAGGCTAGCAGGTGGCGGACCTTCCCCTATCCCGGGACAGGTCATGGTCCGGGGTCCATGCCCCGTGGCCCCGGCGTCGCCCTCCTCCAGGCCCGGGAGCAGCGTGCAGCGACCCCGGCAGCTGCCGCCGTTGAGGGTGAGACGGGAGCGAGAATTATCACTCGTGTCTGTACACTCCTCCACAACGCTCCTGGAAATGGGAGATATTATCACGTAAATACATAACAAATAAGGAAACTGCAGTATGTTGTTATTTCCTATTATCCTAAATTGCAGCTCATATTGACCCACACGAGGCAGCTCCTTTTGAACGACCAAAAACACATTTTCTTATCGTCAGATAAGATTCGTGCTAAAATCATTGATATATATATATATATATATATATATATATATATATATATATATATATATAATATGTGTGTGTTTGTGTGTGTGTAATTACCTAAGTGTAGTTACAGGATGAGAGCTACGCTCGTGGTGTCCCGTCTTCCCAGCACTCTTTGTCATATAACGCTTTGAAACTATATTATATCATATATATAATGTGTGTGTGTGTATACATACTAACCATTACCCGTACCTGTTCTTGAAGAATGGCCGTTTCGAAAATAGGTGTTTCATTATCCTTTTAGAATCGAGCCTCCTGGCCATGCTGGGCGTGGAGTGAGGCGGGTGATGTCAGTGCCCACCACCTCTGGGGCACCACAAGGCTTCGTACAACACCTTTGATCCTGGCATGGACTTCAACACACACTTCACTCTCTAAATTTCCGGGGAATTATTGTATATTCGACTGCCACAACGTATTGAAAAACCCCAGACTAATATTATTTGTATATAATTTAACCTCTTTCACAATCGACTGGTCCAGGACGGACCGAAACGTCGTCGTCCCTTCACCTTCTAGTGTGTGGTCTGGTCAACACTTCTTTCAACGTTAATACTTTAGTGATACATGCACACACTGGTTTCTGTATTGCGAAATTGAAGATAGGTTTGTGTTGGTTAGAGGCAGGAAGCGCAGGATGTGTGTCCACCGTGCCGACTGGCAGCTAACTGGCTGCCTCAAGGAGCCTCCCATTAGTTTTACTCTGAGGGAAGCAATCCGGGCCTTCCCCAGCCTCCTCCTCTTCCGACGACGACGAGACGCCTTCTATTAGGGAAGTCCGTCCTCAGGAAACAATCGACTTGTTGTCATAAAGCACTTTCCTGTTTGTTTGTGTTTGATGTTTCGGGCATATTGGTTCATTATGCTGATATGTGACTTGAGTGAGTAGGTTCTAACTTGAGCCACACACTGTTGCTGATGGCAGTCAGTTAACGTTTCTCATTTGACCAACCCCGCCCACTGTCTGGTTCCACGCGTTCTCAAGACATTTGACCAACCCCGCCCACTGTCTGGTTCCACGCGTTCTCAAGACATTTGACCAACCCCGCCCACTGTCTGGTTCCACGCGTTCTCAAGACATTTGACCAACCCCGCCCACTGTCTGGTTCCACGCGTTCTCAAGACATATGACCAACGTCCGCCCACTGTCTGGTTCCACGCGTTCTCAAGACATTTGACCAACCCCGCCCAGTAGCAGGCTGGGCACGTCCGCAGACATCCGGGCCGTGCGCTGCGTTAGTTTACATCCGTTCCCAGGAGTACCTGAGGGCGCGGGGTGTAAGAGGGCCTCACACCAGGATATTTCCACGTCTACCAAGAAATATTCCTCCATCAGGAGAGCGTGAGAACTTGCAGGATAAAAGAATTTCATTAATTATTTCAACTTTCCCACGCAACAAATACATCACACATGTTAATGCAGTGCAACGTGTCCTCTCATATAATACGTCACATTATTTACGGACTCGACCCATCCGTTGTTGACGCTTTCTACGCATCAGCTTCGATAGGTTAAGTGGGTTGTTTGGGTTCGTACTTTTCTAGTTAGGCAAAAATGCTGTATTTTTTACGTTTCTGGTTAAGCAAAATCGTTGCATTTTTGTACGGGGTGACAGTTTGGGTGACAGGTGTGTGAAATACAACTTGTTTATAGGAAATAGAAGTATAGGCGGTGGTTAATAATGTGCTGGAGATATAGTCTGGTGTGCGACTTAATACTACACAATGACAGGTTTATAACTAGAGTAGTTAGGTTTACTGTTGTTCTCTTGTTCCTTTGTGGTGTGGAGGAAGGTCAAGTTGACTCACCACGTGTGTGTTGTGTTGTGGTGCTGGCGGGGATATTACTTCTTACACACACACACACATACACACACACACACACACACACACACACACACACACACACACACACACACACACACACACACACACACACACATACACACACACCCATCCTGTGATGGGTATATACCCATCCTGTGAGCGGTAGTGAACCTCCATACCCATCCTGTGAGCGGTAGTGAACCCACATACCCATCCTGTGAGCGGTAGTGAACCCCTATACCCATCCATAATACCGTGTAACCTACACAAGAAGCGTCACTGTTCAAGAAAATTATTAACGAATCAATCGAATGATTGATAACGGAAGAGCGGACATGACGTCAAAGAAAGGGGCTCGATACAATATATGTATCCTTTTATTTCATTTTCCCCAACACACTCTATTTCTGCATTTGAGGGAAATTATTCAGTCAGAAAACGTATTTGTCCTGAAATGTGAAAAATAACAAGTTTGAGGAAGATAATATCTGTGAACAACACCTGGGAACGGTTTAGTTGGCAACACTGAGCGCTGTGACGTCATCTCGCAGCCTGATGTAACAAGGAAAAATTTATTCCTCTCTTGGCGGGCCTTCCGTGCTGGCTGGGCACAGATTCACGAAACGGTTACGCAAGTACTTATGAACGTGTACATCTTACCTCAATCTTTGACGGCTTTGATTACATTTATTAAACAGTTTACAAGCATGAGACCACCCCAATCAACTGTTGTTATTGTTATAAACAGCCATCCTGGTGCTTCGGAGCTTACTAACTGTTTAATAATTGTAAAGAAAACCGTCAAAGATTGAAAAAAGATGTACAGGTTCGTAAGTGCTTGCTTCATAAATCTGGCCCCAGGTGTTCCGAAGGGTCCACGCTGGGTTCCTAGGGTTTCACATTAGACCCTTTGGATTCCTGCATTAGAAACCTAGGTACTCTAGTGAGACCTCACTAGGGTACCGCTGGTCACCGTGCGACAGAATGAATACACACATTCTCTTGCAAATATAGAGTCAAGAATGGCAGAGTTAATTCCCCCAGGATAAGAATTATTTCACACACGGATAGATATTCCTTATGCTGAGGGATTTATCTTATACTTAACACTATAAACCGCAAAAGTGAAGTATGAGAAGAAGTTTATACTGTAAGTGTAAGTTGTAGCTTATGCTGAGGAGAATACGCTGAAGTTTATGACTGGAGGGTAGAAATAGCCTAAGCTACTCTATCCCTTTGAGTAGCTTAGGCTATTTCTAAAACACTATGTGTTTTATTGTCTCAATAAACGTACTTGAACTTGAAGTTCATGATTATAGATAAGTTATAATCAATTATATATGAATTATGGATTTGTGTAGTGATTTGTAATGGATACACCTAATACAAGAAATACACAAACGTATGGAAGGTGTTACTAAATTTGAAACGGTTTTGAAATCCTCTGCAACAATGGGGGTGGAGCTTTGACAAGCCACTGGCTTCCTATTCCCGTCGAGGCCACTAGAGAGCATGGCCCTCGGGTAAATTCAGGTATTACCGGACATTTAGACAAATTTAGATTTCAAAAGTATACATTAAGACGTTGACTGTGCAATGTAGGTGTTGACGGATGGGGCAAATGTGCTGCAGAAAGACCTATACTGTCTCTGGCACATTTGGGATTGAATTTTGCATAGGCCAGTAGGCCTAGTGCATAGTTTCTTTAGTCTGGCCGTTTCACTTACTTCATCACACAGCTGATCCCCCACCACACAGCTGACTCCTCACCACACAGGGTGAATGGTCTGCGGTATGGGTAGGACATAGGTTGGTCGGGGTCGGTGCTATTGGCCCTAATATGAGGGAGTTGGGCCCCAATAGTGATCCCACCGTTCCACACGATGAAAGGTGACTGGACGAGTCTCTAAAATCCTTCACTAGAACAATGAATTCGGTATTACATTTCTGAGACAGAGATAGGGAGAGAGAATAGAATGAAATAACAAGTGGATAGAGGGAAGGAGAGTGGGGATAAAGAAGAGTAGGGGGATGGCTTGGGAGAGGGGAAGATAGACGCAAATTGGGGAAATAGACCCGGGCACAGCTGGGTACCTCCGTCGCTAGTACTTTTACAAATACATATGCACACTTTGTGGTTACTTTGTGTTGATTTCGGGGATCAACGTCCCTGCGGCCCGGCCTTTGATCGGGCCTCCTGATTGCTGGACTGGTCAACCAGGCTGTTGGACGCGGCTGCTCGCAGCCTGACGTATGAATCACAGCCTGGTTGATCAGGTATCCTTTGGAGGTGTTTATCAAGTTCTCTCTTGAACACTGTGAGGAGTCGGCCAGTTATGCCCCTTATGTGTAGTGGAAGCGTGTTGAACAGTCTCGGGCTTCTGATGTTGATAGAGTTCTCTCTCAGAGTACCTATTGCACCTCTGCTTGTCAACGGAGTATTCTGCACATCCTGCCATGCCTTCTGGACTCATGTGATGTTATTTCTGTGTGCAGGTTTGGGACCAGCTCCTCTACTATTTTTCATATGTAAATTATTATGTATCTATCCCGTCTGCGTTCTAGAGAATACAGATTTTTGCATTTTATTGAGTGAATTCTAGCGGTAAAAGATTTCTGCACGCTCTGTAGGTTAGCAGTTTCTCCAGCTTTGAAAGAGGCTGTCCTTGTGCAACAGTAAAAAAAATGATCTTAATTATTCAGAGATAAGAGTCCCACACCCCCAGCATTTGGTACCCATACCCCACAAGAAGTATGGGTACCCATACCCACAAGAAGTATGGGTACCCATACCCACAAGAAGTATGGGTACCCATACCCCACAAGAAGTATGGGTACCCATACCCACAAGAAGTATGGGTACCCATACCCACAAGAAGTATGGGTACCCACAGTTTAAACCCACTGGTATAACTGCCAAGGGCGCCCGAGTCACCACCATTGCAGACAAAGACGCTCCGGACATTACAAGACTCCCCAATTATGACGTTCATCGTGGAGGTGTGTGTGGCTACAGTGGCTGTGAGTCACGTGACCTTGGTGTCTGTGACGTCACCAGGGCGGGTGCATGACCACACACGTGCGCTGAACGTTTTAATTCCTTGTAATGTGTGTGTGTACGTTTTTGCTTTGTAGCTCCTGTTGGTGAATGAGAGGAACTGTGCACCTACCTCATCCCCCTGTCTCTCTCTCTGTCTCTCTCTCTCTCTCTCTCTCTCTCTCTCTCTCTCTCTCTCTCTCTCTCTCTCTCTCTCTCTCTGCTGCAACAGATGCTGGTATTTGTGAATTAATAGTCTCCGTGGTGCAGTGGTAAGACACTCGCCTGGCGTTCCGCGAGCGCTTTGTCATGGGTTCGTATCCTGGCCGGGGAGGATTTACTGGGCGCAAATCCTTAACTGTAGCCTCTGTTTAACTCAACAGTAAAATGTGTACTTGGTTGTAACAACGATTCTTCGCGGCGGGGATCGTATTCCAGGGACCTGCCCGAAACGCTACGCGTACTAGTGGCTGTACAAGAATGTAACAACTCTTGTATATATCTCAAAAAATCTCAAAAAAATTAACGGAAGAATAAGAATATACTTCTTATTCTGAAGAATAAGTCTCCAAGATTAGGTTAGATCACATCCAGTCGGGTCTAACCTATTCTAGATGTGATTTAATCTAACCTTAGAGTCTACTGAATGTGAATTAACTTAATCTTAGTGCCTGCTGGATGTGCTTTAATCTAACCTTAAAGCCTATTTAATGTGAACTAACCTAATCTTAGTGCCTACTGGATGTAATCTAATCTAAAATTAGTGCCTACTGGATATGATCTAATTTAACCTTAGACCCGGCTGGATGTGATCTAACCTAACCTTGGAGACTATATTACCTAACCTAAACTTACCTATCCTAACCTTACCTTGAGACATATATGGTAACAGCCAGGATGAACGGG